AGGGAAGGGAAGGGAAGGGAAGGGAAGGGAAGGGAAGGGAAGGGAAGGGAAAGGAAGGGAGAAACAAGGGAGACAAATAGGGTTTTCTTTAGGTCTGACCCCAGAGATGAGCTCCCCAATCTCTCTTTCAGGGTTTTACACTGGCTGGAATCCCTCAGGCTGAAGTTGACCTTTTCATAACTCAAGCTATTTCATGCATCTGTCTTTTTTATGAGCCATGTAATTTCCAAAGAAATGATTATTTCCAGTGAGGGGAAAGTTGAACTTTAGGACTTGGTCCGTATTTGGCAACATCAGGGACACAAGATGTTTTTTGAGATGTTTCTGGAAGTGGAAGCGAATCTGGAGCCAAGCATTTAATCCTTGTTGAGTCCTGAGTTTGTTATGAGTTGGAAGAGAAATAAGAAAGAACCAGGAGTTATTCTTGAAAGAAAAATAATTTAGAAACAGAAAAAAAGAGGTGGCAATTTTCTCAAGGAGTAGCCTCACATTTCCTCTCTTCCTAAATGCCAGAGTCTTAAATTAGAGAAAAATTCCTGAAGTAGGCAAATGACATCTCATGCTCCTGTCTGAGGGTGACAGAGAGGTCCAATGTGATACTGCATGGTCTTTTCTGGGGAGATGAGCTTTCTACTAGATGAAGGAACTCCCTAGACTTCCAGGATAGTGCTTTTCCTTCTCTTTTCCCGTGTCTCAGCTGTCAAGAGAGACTGGCTTCTGGAGAGGGGATAGGGCCTACAGGGCTTTCTATGGTTGGGCATATGTGGTAAACAGGTATATGCACAGCTCATACCTCTGCACGCCCTACCTGCCAAGTGGCCCTCAGCTCCATATTGATCAGTGTCTTTCAGCCCTGGAGTGTTCCCCAAGGGCTGGCTCAGCCCCAGTCCAGGGTGACAGGAAGGTTGGGCCTGGGTAGTACTCCATAGAACCAAGACTAATAAATCTGAAAACCTGACACATCCTTTTCATAAGGGATGATGCAGACAGCACAACAAAGTGAGTAATCACAGTCTGATTAGCAAAAATGATAAAATCGTACTTTAGAAAGATCTGTACGGGGAATATACTTTTAAAGAACAAATTCTTCTTTATGTCTCAGCTTTCTTTTCATTTTGGATCCACCAGATTTAATGTATATTTGCTTTGTAAAGAGCAGCTGAGTCCCGATTTAATGAACATGTGGTAATGTATAATTATTCATTAAAATGCTAAATCTGAGTAATTTAGAAATAGTGTTGTTTGCTGGACAATTAATTACACAAATTTAACTTTTCATTCCAGTATAGCTTTTCTTTCTTTCTTTTTCTCTTTCTTTCTTTCTTTCTTTCTTTCTTTCTTTCTTTCTTTCTTTCTTTCTTTCTTTTTCTTTCTTTCTTTCCTTTCTTTCTTTTTTTAAATTTTAAATATAAGGGGTACAATAAGGGGTTAGGTATGCAAATGTTCATTATGCAGCTACCCTTGTTGATGAGGTGTGCCCCCACTCCCCTGGCAGTTTCCCACTACTGCCAATCCCACCCCCGCCCTCCCTTGGCAGTTTCCCTTCTCCAGTAGGCCCCCAGATCACATGTGGTGGAGCACTGAGGAATAATAAACACTCCTACTGCTTCTTTTTTTTTTTTCTTGAGTTGGAGTCTCACTCTGTCACCCAGACTGGAGTGCAGTGGCCGCTCCCAGCCATTGCAGCCTCGACCTGCTGGGCTCCGGAGATCCTTCCGTCTCAGCCTTCCAAGTAGCTGGAACTACAGGCGTGCACTATCACGCCCGGCTATTTTTTTTTTAATTGTAGAAATGAGGTCTCCAAGTTGCCCAGGTGGGTCTCGAACCCACGGGCTCAGGCAATCCACTCACCTCAGCCTCCCAAAGCACGGGATTACAGTCTGAGCCACTGAGCCTGGCTTAGCACGCCTACTTCTAAGATTTGTGTAATTTGAAGTAGGTCTATGGTAATGCCTGTGATGTACTCCTTCACGATTTTAGAAAAGAGACAGAAAGGTAGGAAGGGAGGAGAGAAACCAGCATTAGCAAGTGCTTGTTTAAGATTCCCCCTGCCATCTCCATCTCCACATCCAAGACACTGCCAAGCCTGATAAATTACCTTGCTCCAGTTGCCCACTTTCCAGCCGGCACAGGGACGGAGGTGGCATCTCTTAGCAGGGTCAGGCCTCTGGATGGTTGCACAGTCAGAATCCATCTGAGTGCTGCACTCCACCCTTCTCCAGTAGGCCCCCAGACCACACGTGGTGGAGCACTGAGGAAGGAAAGGAAGAGAGAGAACACAGAGGTTGAGGGTCATTTTCTTAGACATGCCTCATCGCTGGAACCCTGGAGTCAGAATTTCTCAAATGTGACTGCTCACTAAATAGCTCACAACAGAACGTTAAAAAAAAAAATTACCAATGCTGGGATCCCCACCTACACAGATTAATTTGAATCTCTGGGCATACGGCCCAGGGATCAGCACTAAAAATAATTTCTCAGTTGATTCCAATAAACAGTCAGGGTTGAGAATCCCTGCATTATATGTGAGAGAAAAAATCCAATGCAAATGGAAATTTGCTTCCTTTTAAAAATTATCCTGTCATGAATACTCAGGGGCCGGCAGGCAAACCGCCACATTTTATACCAATGCTGTGCAGAGTGAATGTCAGATCTGAGGGTCTATCCCTTACCTCACATCTGCCTAACATTGCCATGATACTACCTCACTTATTCCTCCCTGTGACAAACCTGTGATGTAGACTGCTGTTATTATAGTATAGATGAAGAAACTGAGTCTTAGAGAGCTGGCTTGCCCAAGGAGTTTTCTGTCTCCAAAATCCAGGACAATGTCTGTTACAGTAGTGCTTCTCAAACTCTAGAGACCATGTGACTCACCAGGGACCTTGCTAAATGCAGATTCTGATTCAGCAGGTCTAGTGGGGGAGGAGATTCTGCATTTCTAGGTGATTCTAGCAAGTTCCCAGGTGATGCCAATGCTGTTGGTCCTCAGACCACACTTGAAATTAAAAGATGTTACAGCCTGGGCGTGGTGGCTCATGCCTATAATCCCAGCATTTTGGGAGGCCGAGGTGAGAAGATCACCTAAGCCCAGCAGATCAAGGCTGCAGTGGCTGTGAGCATGCCACTGCATTCCAGCCTGGGCGACAGAGTGAGACTGACTCAAAAAAAAAAAAAAGATGTTATAACATTATGCTTTTCTTTACTCCATTCACCATTGATGAATAAACCAGTCAGCTTTTGACATACATACAGCCCATTCCTCTCAGGGTGTTTTTTTTATTTATAATACTTAAATATCTCAGGTTTAGCATGGGGGTCACCTTGAAAACTATGCAAACGTTTTCCTCCATAATTTCCTCCATTTAATGTGCCTCATTCTTTTATATATAAAAGGTTTTCCTTGTATCCTTTCTCCCCGACTCAGTCTCATAAGGAGGGGCTATTTCTGAACAAGCAAAACTGTGGTCTGCACTAATTAAATAAAGACTAGACTTATGTTTCTCTTGTTGCATCTTCACCCTACACATAATTTTACATTTCATTTTGTGCACGTTTTTGTGTTATAACACATATATAACCTAACAGAGTTCTTAGGCAGAAAAACTGTGGAATCACAGAATGGGAAAAGTAGAAAATAGCCTGTGTCATCATCTTTTCCAAATGGCTCATTTATAGTGGCAATCTCCTCTCCTTAAAATTCTTTAGGATTTGATTTGTATCTCTTGTAAGTTTCTAGTATTTTCTCCTTTGTACTATATCATGTCTCTAGGTAATAGAGATAATAACAGCTGAATTGCATTGATCATAGTTGTAGATTGATTGAACTAATGGCCCCGTTGTTCACACTTCCTTAAACCTAGGCTCTTTGCATCAAGAGCAGGAATCTATTTCCCTAGCTCATGAATCAGGGCTGTTCTTCTGACTTGTTTTGGCGAACAGAAGACTGTAGATGACGCTGTTCTGGTTCTCAAGTGGTATTGTCCTGCATTCTGGCTCTTGGACCCCTGCCTCTGCCATGAGAATAAATGTAGGCTGACCTGATGGAGGATGATAGCTCCTGTGAAACTGAGCCTAGTAACCCAGCCAGTGCCATCCAAGACTAGTCAGCCTTCAGTCAACAATCTACAGATACCTGACAAGTCATGCTAAGATCAGAAGAATCTCCTAACTGACCCTCAAACTCATGAATAACAATTTTTATAAATTATTGAGGTTTTGATGTTGTTTGCATAGCGTTTATTGTGGCAGCAGACAGCTGATTCAATATATAACAGGTACCCTTCTTATATTTTCTGGAACCTTCTGATTAGAGAAGAATACAATTACCATTCTGTATATAGCTAACCGTGAGATTTTCTTCAGTTTTCTAACTCTTGCAAGCCTATAAAATGGGTGATAACACTAGGGTCTCACTCACTGAGTTGTGAGGACTAAAGGAGATCATTCATGCACACTACCTAGCATATGGTCAGTGCTCTGCAAATGTAACCTACTAAACACAACCTACCTGCAAGATCAGGCTCATGAGCTCCACTTTCCTCATATTGGAGACCAAGAGAGTTTAGGGACCATGCTCAAGTTCACATAGCTGGTATGCCATTCATTTCATAATTTCATGAAGAAAAATATGACATTTGATTACACCCAGGAAAGGAGCTATTGAGACCAGATTACCAGGCAAGCTACAATCTTAGTGAATCTCGACTGATGGCCATTGTTCTTTGTACCATATTTATGTTGCAAATAAATGCACATTGTTCTGGGGCCTCAAATACAGTCCTACTAGTAAACAAATATTCGGCAATTTCTATTTAAGGCAGCAAACAACAGTCCAAAAGTAAAACTGACTAGACAAAACCCATGGAAAATAGTCAAAAGTAAAATGGAATTCTGTCGATTATTACTTCTATTAAATTAGTTTCAGATTGGGAACTGGGAATGGGAGAAGAAAGGAGGACCCTGAAGAGGCTCAGAGACAATTTCACTTGTCCTGGAAGTCATCCTCCTTACAGCTATTCTTGTAACCTGCTTTGGCCAGTAGAATGCAGCAAATGATGCTGTTCTAGTTCTCAAGAGGTCTTGCTTTCCATTCTTACTCTTGGATCCCTGCCTCTGCCATGAGAATAAACCTGAGCTGTCTGTCCTCCAGGAAGATGAGAGTTTGTTACAGCTAGTTACCCTGCAACAACTCATTGACCAAGTCAAGGATCAGTGTTTGACTGTTCAGAACTGGAACTGATGCAGAAGTTCACATCGGCATCACATGAAAGCTGCTCTGAGAGGCTGTGGAAAATTATGCTGTCACTTCCATTTGACACAACTACACAACCCACATTTAACTGACTGGCCCAAGGGAACTGACTGAATGACAAGGCAATTCAATGGTAGATGAGTTTCTGTCAAAATAAGGGCACCTAAGTTTTCTGTTTTGTAAATATGTATCAGAGCAAACACTTCCTGAAGGCTTCCTCTGTACCTGATACTCTTCTGAGTAACTTACATAGAGTTATTTCTTTTATCTCAGAACAATCTTACAACTTGGGCATCATCATCCTCCTTATTTTACAAGAGTGAGGATGTACAGTTTGTAAGTGTTTGAGCCAGGATTCAACCCAGAAAGTCTGGTTTTAAGTTTTATGCCTATAAAGCTATAAAGTGTCAACTCAGTTTTTATACCAATGACTTAATTTTTGAAAGCACAATTAGTCAAAGGAATGTGCTATGTACTGTGGAGGCTATGGACAGCCTTTAATACAGGACAGAGGTGGGAGGACATTGTAAGAGAGATTTCAGATCAAACCCTAAGAACCTTTAGAAATTACTTCCTGCCTTAGGGATCAGGAAAAGCTTTATGGATGAGGAAACTCAAGGCTTGATCTTGAAGAATAGGTAGGCTTTAAAAGGGCAGCAGAGCAGAGAGAGGAAATTTTGGACAGAGAAAACAGCATGAACAGAGACACTGGACTAAGAGGTATAAGGGTTAAAGGAAATTGAGCAGTTTAGATCTGTTGAAGCTTAAGATGGATGAAGAAAAGTAAGCAGCAGTAAGCTATGAAAGCTGGATTATGTAAGGTTGTGAGGGCCACTGGATGCCAGTTTACAATAGATGGCTAGGGATGAGAAGACATCAAAGATTTGTGGGCAGGAGTTTGAAATTAGAATAGTCTTTTCAGAAGACTAATTTGGCAGTCCACATCTCTTGGAGTGGTGTTTGGAAAAGACTAGAGAAGGGAGAGAATTGAGGTACACAGATCATCAAGGAGGCAAGGGCAGGCATCCAAACAAGAATAGTGACCATGATGCTTCATGCTCAACTATTGGGGCACTTTTGGCATTTGTGACTCAACAATTCTTCCTTATAAGGGACTTCTTTTAATGTCATGGGACTTTTATCAATCTTGGCTGTCAGACATGGAATGCTGGTTGCAGCCCCTCCCCACCCACATTGTTGTAACAAACAAAAGCATACTCTCTCATATCTAGATTCCTCCTACCATCAGATTAGAAACCACTGGGCTTTAAACTGACAGAGGAAATATAAAAGAGATGACAGAAATGATGATGTAATACTGACTTGAAAAACGATTAGAGTTTGGTTTTTTTTTTTCAGTACGACAGAGGCAGATTAATATTAATGGTGATTCTGGGAGTTCTAAGATGTAGTGATTGAGAGGTGAGTGACACATTGTAGAGAGAGACAACCCAAAAGAAACAGTTTCAGAAATGGGCAGAAACAAAAATCAGGGAGAGTGAGAGTTCCTATTTAGAGTTCTGACCCTCTCTAACAATACCACATATTCAACATTTTATCTCAAAACATGAGCAGGCACCAAGCCCTGTCATGAAGGGGGCTCCTGCCAAACATGAAGCTCTATTCTTGTAATAATCCTTACAGCTTTGAAAAACTTGCAATCTGGGCCAATACCCCCTTTTCAGCCAAACTCCCTAGAATTAGCAGCCATTAATGGTTCCACCATTGTTGCCAATTTTTTGGTGAGCTATAATGTATACAATAAGATAGTTTATTTCTTTCAAAGTCAAATGATGACATTTAAGAATTAATTCTATGTGTCTTGATTTACTATAATCAAGATGTGTTAATTAACCTTTGAGCTCAAACAGTATTCACATCATGGTTGATGTGTACTTTATTTTAGCTTAGTTTGCTTGGATATAGTAATGTCTCATTAAATCAATTAAAATTTATCAAGTAATTAACATGTATTAAATATTCTCCAGACAAAGAAATCATTATAATACATTTAAATTCAATAATTCCACAACTGCTCTGGGATTTGGGGGTAAATAAAAAGATAAGAGGCAAAAGAAAACTAATTTTGGGGTCATCCTACAATTGCTTTTAAATAAAACTCTTGTATTTTGTACTAAGAAGGGTTTATTTATCCTATTAACAGTCCTAACATATAGCCACATCTGAGGACTGTGATAGCCTCCTAAAGAGCCCTCCCTTTTTGCTGCAATTTGGCATCTCCCTTCATCTCAGTACTGAAATTGTTCTCCCCAAAGTTACCAATGACCTGTTAATTGTCAAATCTAGTAGGTCCATTGTCAACCCTTATGTTCCAAGACATGAATGGCATCATATCTCTTGGTTTAAGTCTTAAATATTAGGTAATTCCTTACTAGTCTTCTTCATGGGATCTCTTTGTCAGCCAGCATCTTGAAATGTTGGTGTTGTCCAGAGTCCCACCCCTGGTCCACTGCTCTTTCCAGCTTGCAGGGGGTCTTTGGATGACCTCACTCACTTTAAAGGTTTGACTTCCACCTATTGCTCATGGTTATCAAATCTTACTTCTCTCACTTCAGACCTATACACACAAGCATCTGCTGGTTATCCTTTGGACATCTCAGAGGCACCACTAATTAAACTTCATATATAACTGAACTCATCATCCCTCCTTTCCTTCTGTCAATTGAGACTCACTCTTTCTATACAGTTGTGTGCTATATCGGTACATAGGATCACCACCCAACAGACACCCAAGATTCAAGTGGACTAGTCAATGACAGACTCCTCCTCTTCTCTTTCCTTTTCATACCCCACATCCAATTATTCACAAATCCCTACTGATTTTAAGTTCAAAATGTATCTTGGATTTACTTTCTTCTCTTCATCCTTGTCACAGTTCTCATGTCTCATCTGGGCTATTACAATAACCTTTCAATAGGTCAAATCCCTCATCCTCCTTGTTGTAGAATAAGCAATCTACATTCAGTGGCAGAAATTTCTAGGAGTTCACCACAGTCCTTTATCCTCTTCTTCCGGGGCACACGGTAAGATTGCATTTCCCTACTTCCTTGTGCTTGGTTTGGTTGCGTGACAGTTCTAGAAAATGGGATGTGAGCAGAAGTGATTTTGTGCCACTTCCAGGCTTAACCCATACAAACTCCTGTAGGAGTGCCTCTATGCTTGTTTCCCTTTCTGATTGTCTGGACAGGTAACCCCAGAGCCATTGCCAGCCTGGATTCCCAAATGACTGCATAGACCAATCTCTACCATCATCACTGACTGGAATCACCTTGTACTGTTATGTGAGTGAGAAACCAATTTTTGTTCTGGTGAAACAATATTTGTTGGGCTTTATTTGTTACAACAGCCTAGCGTCCCTAATGTGTGTGCATGTGTGTGTGACAGCATGCACATTTGCATGCATGGTTTTTAATCACAGATGCATACAGTATGCATGTCATTCATATTTTGATGGTTTCAATATCAATCCCACATCTATGCCTTTTATCATCCACTCTTTCATATTGTGTTTAACCTAGGCTGTATTCAACTGCAGGTACATTCTGACCTCATTTCCATTTATTATCAAAATACAACTTAGTCGTTTCTGTTTCCATAACTTTTTTTTTGTTTTTTCATTCTGCAGAGGTCACACACTGAAAACTTCTCCGACTGAAAGAGACTGAAACAACAGGCCTGTTTTTCTGCTCTTAAGGATGCCCATATTTTTAGAAGAAAAGATATATTTTGAGAGTATTATTCGAAAGAATATCAGTCCATAAAACCTAAACAGATTAATTTTATGTCAAAATATCTAGGCTGAACCTACCGTGGACAATTCACCCCATGAACTCAAAAGTAACCACGAGCGCTCTCAGTGTCATTTTAAATTACTTTCTTATGAACTATGTGATTTTCTCGTCTGTCTACCCAGGATTATCGCATAACTGGTATTGTGTTTATATATAATATGACCAAAGGAGAAACAAATGAAACTAAAGGCATAGAAAATGGTGATACTTTCTGATTTGCAAAGGAATGGGTCATGGTTCTCAAGTCCATCCATCTAAGTTCAATCCTGCTGCTCATGAGTGTGTATGATTCTGGCTAACAACTTAACCCCTTTCAGCTTCAGTTTCTTTGTCTCTAACATGCAGAAAATATTACCAATCTCCTTGGGCTGTGGTGAGGATTAAATGAAAGAATGAATGTTCATTAGCATAAAATCATGATTATCAAGCATGCTGAATGCTTCATGAATGTTCACTGTCTCATTGTTAAGAGCCCCATGGAACTGATTAGAGGAGAAACAGGACTAACATGTCAGGTATTGTGAGACTCATTTGTCTTCTTTCAACAAATTGGATCACTGTAAGCATGAAAATCTTTTTTATCTCTGAAGCTGGATTCTTTGTAGTGGAGATAATAAGATGTTGCTCCTTTGACAGGAAATGTTATAACTCACTTTAGAAATCAAGCATAAATCAATGTGAAAATGTAGTTCAGATGCCAACAATTATAGCATTTAGTGCAAGAAATTTTAAAGATTTGACTTTACCTACTTATTGCTAAATAGTCAATTCCATGACCTATAATGCTAATTAATTTATACAAAATAATTTTATACAATTAAGTTGTCAATTGGTGCTGAAACTCAGTAAAGAAACAGCAGACTAGAGCAGAAAGAGTTAGAAGGTTCATCATCCAACTGAAAAGTGTGTCCTTAGACACAAATCACTTAACTGTTAAAAAAATCTTAGTTATTTCTATTTGCAAATTGGTATAAATTACTAATTCCCTCTTTCCAGGACCATTAAAAAGGAAAAAAAATAAGAGGCCACCTATGAAAGTGGTTCAGAAATTAAGCATGTTTTATACATTGTTATAATTGTATTGTTATTTTTATATTAGCTGCTAATATTTCACTTCTTTTTAGCCAGGGAGATGAGTAATGAAATGTTATAAAAGTGCTGAATGATTTGAATGGGATTACTTTGCTACAAAGTCCTCTTTTTTGAGTTGTCACATTACTTTAACAAGTTCGTATACTGCATATTCAGAATTCAAATAGGTGAAAAATGATTTTGAGGCTTCAAAGGATGTCATTAGTTCTAGAAATAGAAAAAAATGAATATCTAGCCAAATTTCTAAAGCATAAAAATAGAGACCAATATTCTGTCACCATGCTTTTCTTCTTCCTCTATATTCTAATTTTTTCAATCAGCCAAAATGATTTTTTTTTTTAATTTAGGGCCTCACTCTGTTGCCCAGGCTGGAGTGCAGTGGCACGAACATGACTCACTGCAGCTATGACCTCCTGGGCTCAGAAGATCCTTCCACTTCAGCCTCCTGATTACCTGGGACTACAAGTACAGGCCACCATGCCTGACTAATTTTTTTAATTTTTTGTAGAGATGAGGCCTTGCTATGTTGCTCAGGGTGGTCTTGAACTCCTGGGCTCAAGCAATCCTCCTGCCTCTGCCTCCCAAAGTGCTGAGATTACAGGTGTGAGTCATCACACTCAGTCAAAAATGAAATTTTTAATGCAAGCACCAAAACAAACCAAAAACTTAAAAAAAAAAAACCAACACTGATATTGTGAGCTATAGAATTCTTTTAGTGAGCTTTGTCTTAGATTTCCATTCCAATTGCAATTACTTCGCAGGTTTATACCAAGTCTCTGCATTAGCTTTCTGATTAAAATGTGAACTTGGCCTCATTCAGTTGTCCTTCATCATAGGATCATTGCAGTTTAAAGCTGGAAGGGACATTAGAAATTATCTACACTAGTGCTTTCATTGTGTAGATAAAAAGCAGGCTCAGAAAGATGGACTGAATTCTTGATGATCACACAGCTGACCGATCCAGGCTTCCTGAATTTGTTTTCATTATATCTCATTACATTAGGTTCTTCTTCCCTTGACACACACACACACACACACACACACACACACACACACACACATACACACACTTTTTTTTTCATTAGAGGAGTTAGGGTAGTAAGGTTAAGAGTACAGGGTCAATTGCTTCCATTTTCTTCCACATTAGACTATTTTTAAAGGCAAGTTCATTTTGAAAATTGCACATGAATACAACACTCCTAGCTATGTTTCATGTAAAGTCAGATCTGAGTGGAAAACAGGACATCTTACCTCACTCCAGTTTCCAACAATCCAATATGCGGGGCTGTGGCTCTTGGTGAACGGTTTGTAATTGGAGGCATTTAGCAAAAAGCCTTCAGCAATCAGACTTGTCGCATCTTCCTCCGTCAGAACTGGTTCAGAGGTTTGTGTTAGATTAATATTGTTTGGAAATTCCAGGTGGTTAAGGTTTACTGACTTTCCCGAGGGCACTGGCTGGTGGTTTCCCCCCAGAGAGAGGGGAGTGCTAGCTGGCACTGGCGTTTCGGTAACCATCCCCTTAGCTCTGGGTGTCCCATTTTTGAGAGGATTGGGCCTCTGGCTGGGGAGCAGCCCCTCCATCACTGTGCTGTAGGGTGGCCACAGGGACTCTTCACTGAGATATGGTGTTGGTGGAGGCCCAAGTGGCATTTCTGTACTTTTTCCTGTTGGAGCTTCCTTTCCAGCTACTCTGATCTTGGTCCATATCACAGGGTTGTTTTCATCTTTGTTCTCTGGCTGGTCACTGTCTTCCCCTGAGCCACTGTGAATCTCCATTTCTGGATCTTTGGTTAAGGTATTGTAAAATGGAGTCACCGGCCAAGTCACAGGGTTGTTGTAAGATGACAAGTCAGAACCGCCTGTTGTAGCTACAAGGTCTTCCTCTGAGGTAGGACCAGTATCTGAACTGGAAACATTTTCATCATTCGGCTGGATGCTAAAAGCCTGGGAAGTGAGGATGGGTTGGGAGGTGCTTCCAGCAGAAATGAGATTATGGGAGTTCAGTTCAGGTTGGGTTGTACTATTGTGCCATAGTTTCCCATCAAGGTCTCCTTTGGAGGTTGTGGTAGAACTAGGGCTGCTGGCTGCCAGAGTACTTGTACTCCTAGACTCAGGCCCTGTGGGTGTGGTCAGCATTTGGGGTCCAGATGTAGGTGGAGGGACGGGTTTTAGGGGGTCTTGATCAGTTGGTGGTGGATTTTTCGCATTGGAAATTGTGCCTTTGTTGGGTTTCAGAATTCTTCGGCTAGATGGGCATTGCTGGAGGCCACATAGAGCTCGACTGTTGGGTTTCTTTGTCACGTCGCAAGGTTCATCATGGTTCTTGGCACATGTGACACTGCGAATCCGCACTCCGCCACCACAGGAAACAGAACACTAGAAAAGAGAGACGGTTGTTAGTCTAGTGAGAAAAGGTCCTTTCATTCTCATGGTCAGGTTTACAACAGATAGAGACAGGCCCAATAGAAGCTGAAGTATGCAGTTAAAATTGCCATCTTCCATCTCTACATTTGGTCTCTGGGCTGTTTTAGTTTTCCATGGAAATATATATCTCCTGGAGACAAGTTGGGACTCAGGAATAACCATTTACTCTTCACACACTGAAAATATAAACCATGACATAGTCAAACTGAAGTCTCCTTGGGCTTTGAACCTTGGATGGTGGGATTCATAAAGAATGAAATGATCTAAACAAGTCACCTAATCTTTTAAATAGCTAGTAAGTCATATTATCTCTGTCCTAGAGTTGTGATACTATTAACGTAAAATGTTTATGTATTCTCTAGAATCTATTAAATTAGTTATAACAAAACTTTCCCTTTATATTTAGAAAATTACTATTGTAACTCACTTTAGTTTCTTCCAAGTTCCTTTCTAAAAACTATTATTATTATTTAAAGACGAGGTCTCTCTATGTAGCCCAGGTTGGTCTCAAACTCCTGGCCTAAGCAATCCTCTTGCCTCAGCCTCCTGAGTAGCTGGGATTACAGGCGTGAGTCACTGTGCCCAGCTCCCGGGTACCTTAAGCTCCATTCACACTTGCCTGTGGCAAGTGGAATCAGATTAAAACTTAGATAATCACCATACTCACATTTCTGAACTGTAAAGACAGGTAGTTAATCATAGGTGGGAGATAACCTTTTCTGAAGAGTTAGGTGAGACCTTTTGCATGGTGCTGGTAAGGTCTCAATCCCCAGTGACCCCTCCGCATTCTGTAGGGCATACCAAAGCACAGGATTTGGGGGATGGTCTCTGGGGAAATCCTAACACGACAGTTTTTCCTCAGGGTTCATGGTAAAGGATGTTCACTTCATCAATTTCAGCAGCTGTGACTCACGTATAGTTGCTATAAATCATTAAATGTCTTTAATTTTTTTATTTTTTATTTTTTAAAACACTAAATTTCTAGGTATTTTGAAAAAATCCCAACTTTTACCAAACCATTTCATTTTTGGCTTTCCTTTCTAATGATATTTTAAATCAACCACAAAACAATTAGTACTTGAACATAACTACTCAGGGGTCTTCTCTGGCTATTTTATATTTGCATATTTTGTTTCACTGACTTCAAAACAGGTTTCTTAATGATGGGTACTGTACAGTGGATTGCCAAGAACTTCACAGACACCATTCTGTGTGATACTTATAACATCCCTGTGAGATTTACAGGGCAGGAACTACTATTCTGTCTTTCATAAGAGAGGAATCTGGGACCAAGGGACTCACTTGAAAGGCTGCAAGTCAGTTGCAGAATAAGAATTAGATTTATTTCACTTCCCCATCCCCAAAACTATTGCCATACACTGCAAAGTAGCTGGCCATGGAGTTCACTTATTGACTTGACCAGACTCTTGATTTATGAAAAGTTACCCAAACCCATGACCTGTTTCCTATTCATAATAGAATTTAAGGACAGTGCTTAGGACACAGTGATCACTTTGTACATATTTATTAAGTGACTATTTCGCCTGAAAACAAATCAGGAGTGGAAAAATCCTCATCATGAGCTTAAGCATTTAGTTTATAGTCATTGCCTTCTCAAGTCCTATTTTCAATTTTCTCTATGTAGGAAAATAATATCAATGTAAAAAACTTCCCCTTTATTTACTTTCAATCAAGCATAATCACTCACTGATATGTTATTACCTCTGTGAAATCAGTTCCTCTGAAAATCAGACATGCTGTGAGCATAGGAATGCATAGCTGATAGACCCCAACAGCAGATTTGGGCTCAACCAGTAAAGCTGTGGATTTAAGATGTCCACAACATACGCAAATGTCTGACTCTAGAACTGAACTGTCAAGTCTGTTTTGAAATCATAACAATATTAATTTTTGGTGAAATCTGCTTAATACCCACTCATCTCCCACAAAAGCAGAAGCTTCTACCTAAAAGTATCAGAGCCCAGCAGGGAGGAAATGGTCTCTTATGGCACCTTCCATGACTTCTCACTGGGGCCTGGAAAAGAAGCCTGGAGGTATTTACTTTCCTGGTTTGCTGCAATATTTCAGTCCTTCTTGTGTAAGAGGATAGGTAAGTTTCATCTGTCTTAGTCATCCCAAGTCCCTCTCCACGTGCTACATTCTAATCTGAACTCCATGGATTTTCAAATCTCCACTTTGTAAAAAATTTACCAGTTCAACCAAATCATCCCTGGTGCACATGTGGTCATATTTCCATATGGTCTGTCCCAGGCTGGCTCAGTTTTGAGAGCTGATTCACAAAAGAGGCACTGGCCAATGCCAACTGGTCTCAGGCAGCAGGTGGTCCTCCTTTTAGGATTTTCTTCCTAAGAGGTATTAGACTGCATGATAACACAATAGGAAATTCTTCCAATATTTCTTTTTCTTTCTCTTCCTTTTTTTTTTTTTGTTCATTTTGAGTTAAAATGTTTTTAATATCTTTAGGGAAGTTAGGCTTTACTTGTACACCTTTACAAATTTTTTTTAAAATGAAGAATTATAGGGCTATATGCCTCTACCCTCACATTGAATTATGAAGTAAAAAAAAACCCATAAAACTTTTGAGACATAGCTTAATTTCCCCAATCCGTTATTATTAACTCCCTGCGTGAAAAAGTAACTAAGCCTTTCTTTGTCTGGAATGATTTCCCAGGCTAACAGATGGATATGTAGTTTTAAAATTTCCAAATACCAAATAATCTTATTAACTGTGTGAATTTGCTTAACCCAAAAGAGTAATGCAAGAGTACATTACATTTAGATTTTGATATCTTAAAACAGAAGGATGTGCTAGATTTTGATATTATAAAACAGAAGATTGTTCTCGAACAGGAATTCCAACGTGGCAGTCTAAGGACTAAATGTAGCTCAATGACATATAGTCTCTGGCCTATTCAATCTTAAAACAAACAAACAAAACACAAAACCTGAACTAATGACCAATTTTTAAAAATTAATGGCTAATTTTAAAAATTAGCAATTTTATGTTAATAAAACTCCAGACTTTGACTTCTCCTGAAAGAACAGATGATCTGCTTCTATTGCTTCTTTCCCCAAATAGCAACTCAAAGCTCATTCATGAAGACCCAGGGTCTGGGAGGAGTTTTATGTTCTCCAATGCACCTACCTTCCATCTACATTGACTTTCCTTAGCCAGTAGACTGAATCTTCCAGTAACTTATGCTGGATGCCATCCCTTAGCACTGGGGCAAATTGTGCCCAGCAGGACAGTATTAACTGTCTATCAAGTACATTGGGCCTAAAACTAAGTTGCCTTCTCTCCTAGTCGCTCCAGAACAAGCAGTGCTGCTTTGTATTCAGCACCATGCTTCTGACGTACATCTTCTCCTTAGGAGCCGTCAAGCACTTCAGATGAGATAAATGCAGTACACAACACTACACTTTAAACTCCTCTCAACTGGTAGTTTCAAAATTCTCAAAACCAATTTGAACTATGATTATCATATGCCCTTACCTTGTCATTTTGAACCCTGGACCAGGCAGGCAGCTTGTCAGCCTCTTATGTCCTGTCTCGGAGTCATCCTGCCCTACTTGCCACCCCTCCTGGATTCAGGGTTCTGGGGAAATGGGGAGCCCACTGGGAAGGAAGTTTGCTGCCAAATTTGTCAACCCCACCCACCTGAGGTGCACTGTGGGGGGTAGGGAGGACCTCACAACTGGCACAGAGCTGTAGTGCTGAGAGAGAGTTTATTCAAAAACATAGTTGGAGTTTATCAGAGAATGTGGGCTGAAGGGCTGAGTAGAGAAACAGCTAATATTTGGGGCATAAAAACATTTAATACATAGTCTCAGAAATTTAGAAATGAATAATTGGAACTAAAATCAGCTTTGAAAGTAAGTTAAAACACTTATGTAGCTATTATGGGTTGAATTATGTTCCCCTCAAAAAAGATCTGTCAGCATCCTATTGCCCTCTAACCTCAGAATGTGGCCTTATTTGGAGATAGGATCTTTATGGAGGTAATCAAGTTAAAATAAGTTCATTAGGGTGGGCCCTCATCCAATATGACTGGTGTTTTTATAAGAGGGAAAATTTGGACACAGAAAGCACAGGTGGGTAGAATACCATGTGAAGATGAAGGCAGAGATTGGGGTGATGCATTTACACGCCAAAGAGTGTCTGCAAACCCAGAAGCTAGGAAAAAGGCATGGAAGGATTCTTACAACCTTCACAAGAAACCAATTCTGCTGATCCCTTGACCTTGAATTTCTAGCCTCCACAAATGTGAGATAGTACATTTCTGTTGTTTAAGCCTCCCGGTTTGTGGTACTCAGAGCAGTAAAGCACATGTCTGCTCTCCAGAAACCCTGGCAGAGCACAGGCTGCCGATGCCTGGGAAGAATTGAGATCCTGGCACTTAACAGACATCCCACACCAAAAGAGGAGGTGATTGAGGTCAGAACATCAGGTGGCCAGTCCCATAGGAGTGCCTGGACCTTAATTGAAACTAGGGAATACCAGTGGGTCAGTGACTCTCACAAATGTTTCCTATCCCTCCATACTCTCTCTTCCTGTGGTTTGCAGGGATTTCACTTTCCTGGGACTTCACAAGAGCCTAGCTTTGCTTCCCATTTAGCAGTAGACATGTCATCACTGCTTGCTGTCATGCCTTTGGTCCGAAGATCCAGGGAGAGTTCATTTGTGATGATCAACATTTAGTTTATTTGGTCACTCTGCATTCCAACACCCTTGTGGACAGTTTTGCACTTAAATAGATTATCAGTAATTAGCTTATTGATTATTTTGTTTGTTTTTGTTAGACTCAGGAGGAGTAGATTAAAGATCTTCCTATGCTCTGGGCTTTTAGAGGTCCCACTCCATGTTCCATCAAATGTATTCAAATGCATCTCTGGTCTCAAGTGAAATACAATACTTTGCTATAAAAACCATT